GCTTCTCAGGGGTCTTGGGGACCTATAAGGGCCCCTTAAGATGCTGTAAGAGGGAGCCCAGGCCCTTATCAAGCACCACAGAAGCCTTGGTGTTTCGAATAAGGCTCAAGAGGGGCGGTGCGTCGCCTCCGCATAACGAGACTTCGGAGGCACCGGGAAGGCCAAGGAGGTCACTGCCGCCCCCATCCTCGATAAGCTTGGGGTTTGAGGCACAAGGTTTGCCAGAGGGCTTTCTGTTCAAGGCGTCCGGACTAAGGCCTAGGATGTAGTCAGAGAGCGCTCTGTTACGTCTGGAAAAGCCCGAAACTTCCAAGTCCTTGTACCGCTGAAAGCCCACAGCCAAAGTTTCCCATACCCCGAAACCTTGGAAGCCCTAAACCCCAAACGCCATAAAGCCTAAAGCCAGAAACCAAGTCCCTGAATAAATTAAACCTTCACTGCCGAAACCTCAAAATCCTCAAAATAAGCCCCTAATCTCAAAAGGTGTAAGATCAAAACTGAATATCCCTCTCTTGCTCAAGGAGCTCTTATCGGAGTTTGCTCGCATCCGGCACATATGGCCCGAGGCGGGATTGTCGCTCTTAGGCTTGGGGCTTCGAGTTTTGGATCTGTGATGCTTTGTCGTTTGGGTTGTTGGGATTGGGATGTCGGGTGTTGCAGTTGAGGGCTGAGGCTTCAGTGCAGTGGGCTGAGGGTCTGAGAGCATCATGTGCCGACAAGCTTGAAACATGGTTTGGTGGCGATGCCCAGACCACTGTCTATGAATCGCGCGAATGTGCCTGGCAAATATTTGCTGAACCATCACAACCATCATCTCCGCTGTTGCAAATAACCTTTGGGGCTTGATTTTGACGGGTTATGTGTGGTGAGGATCTTGGACTTCTCTGGCTTCGGGATCTGGTGTATGACTACATATTGCCCTATGACTCACAACGCTCGCAGCGAAGGAATGGGCAGAAGTATCAACTGCGTTCATGACAACAGTACTGACAAGGATATGCTCGGAGCGACACTCAGACTCAATTGTCGTCGTAGTACTGGTCACCAGAAGCAGAACCAAGAAAACCACCGGCACCAGCACCGGCACCAGCAGCACCACTGCAGCCTCCACCACCAGTCGCCGCCATCGCGGCGGCAATGATTCGATGGCCGTGCAGCCCAGGATTGCTAATGCTCGAGACGGCCCACGGCTTTTTCAGCCAACATTTGATTGGCTGTCTCTGATGGCCCCCGTGGCACCTTCTCGCCACAACGGGTGAAACAGGCAATCTAATTTGAGCAGATGGAGAACTGCTTGAAAATCACTCTGGGCAAAAGCCGACCAGATGCCCTACCAAGAAACGACAATTTTAAGTTTTCTTCGGTAAGCCTATCGCTGGCCGATTTTCATGTTTTACTTCCCTAGTCCATACCCTGGCGGGCATGCGTAGGTTGACCACAGGATGCTAGGACCTCGGTCACAATTCTGGGACAGTGCAAAAAAATTGACAAGGTGCTTGAGACCTCTCTCAAGACGTCGTGGCCCGCTACTGTAGCGGTCAGCACACTGACTCAGTAGGCCTTTCCGATGGCCTGCCACACGGCAAGGAGGACATGGACGGTACAGTACTGGTTTGGGCTGCCGCTAACTTCCAGCACGAAGTCATGAACGATGTTGATGCTAACCCATGCAGTGATCAACTGAAGCAGCAAGATCAACCCGACTGCAACACAATAACCTCGAGTCCGAACCCTAGCCCACTCTAATCTGCAAGGACCCCGAGCCTCTAGAGCCCTCCACACAGCCCTTATGCGAAGATCCCTGATTGGAAGCTGATAAATCAAAGGCAGCACGGTGAACCATATGCCGGTCTGAGCAGCATGCACAAGTGTATCCATCTATCTATCTGTCTACCTATCTGTCTATCTATCTATCTTTCTTTTTCTACCTGGCAACCTACGTATCTGTATCGATCTAGCTATCCTTCTCTCTGCCCGTCTATCTACCTACCTATCTACCTACCTGTCTACTTACGCATGTACACATGAATGTATGCTTGTATCGCGTGACTGTGTGTACGCACGCATGCATGCATGTGTGTATATAATTATATTTGTGCGTGTGTGTGTGTGCGGTAGTTTTTGGACGTGCGAAAGTAAGTAGCAAGTGCAAGTGTGCGCGTTTGTCCGTGGGTGTGTGCATGCGTGTGTGTGTGTGTGTGTCTGCACATATATATATATATATATGTGTGTGTGCGCGTATATATATGTATGTACGTACGTACGTACGTACGTACGTACGTACGTACGTACGTATGTATGTATGTATGTATGTGTATATATAACCACAGTTGTACGTGTGTGCATCTGTACATATGCATGCATGCATGCATGCATGCATGCATGCATGTGTATCTGTGTATGCATGTGTCTATGGTATTTTGCAGAAAGAAGGACGAACGGTTGGACGGACTATCTTGGGAATGGCCTTGCCCTCCTCTCTTTGAAGGTAGGCCCGGATGAGGTCGATGGTGAGTCTTGGCGGCTTCTCCTCCGGAATAAGAATTTCAGGGATTTTGCACTTCAGGGTTCGAGGCCTTGGATATAGGGGGTTAGGCATTAGGTGGCTGGGGCTGTGGGCTTTCGGGGGCTGTGGGCTTTCTGGCGCAGGTGGGACTTTCTGCCGTCAGAACAAGCGTTTGAGTGCTTGTTCGTCCGCTGTTGCAAGTTTCGGTTTAGAGCCGCGGTCTGCATTGGGTATGTAGTAAACTGCGTCTGATCGTGAAACTGTGAGCTCAGATCACATGCAGCGCATACAATACCTTCAGAACAAGAGATGGCATTGAACCTATGCACACAAGCAGTCTACCAGCACCCAAGGTTACAATTCCACTCCCAAGAAGCCATTGCCTCGCTTTTTTCTTCTCGGGGTCGCTGCGCTTCTCGCTCCTCCCACCTGGGTTGCGCAAGGCAGCATGAACCGTTTTCTTGCGGAGTCTATGCCTCGGAAGATTGGAGGGCGCAAGGCCTCAGAGGATAGAACCCGAATACTGTGCCAAAGACTTGTCAGGTATCAGCCTTTGGTTTCAGGATGACCCCACCATCACAGGAACAAAAAGCCGAACTTGAGCATAGCACCCGAACAGCTCGCAGCGCTGGGGCTCCGGCTGCTTCTCAAGCAGCTTGTTGAGGTATGCTTCCTTGGTGCCACAGACGCTTCACGACGAAGATTGGCGTTGAAATCGCTGAGACATTGTGCGCATCTATTTATATACATACATATGTATATACATACATACGTATCATACATATATATATATATGTATACGTACACATATGTGTCTCTCCCTTTCTCTCTCCTTCTTCTTCTTCCACAGGGCATAGGGGGCATGTCAAACCCCTGCCCACAAGGGCCCCCCCAGTATTTGGGGTCGCGTTGAGGGGGCGTGAACAGTTCGCACTGGTGTTTCCCCCGCCTGCCTACAATCAGAGGGCGTACCGATAAGTCTGGAAACCCTTACATGGGAGCCCCCCAGTGGTTATGAGAAACATGCATTCGCGGCTTTGGGACCCCATCGGCTCACTGCACGAGGCTATCCCCCGTTTGTCCGATAGATAAGAAACAAGATCCAATACATCTAGACAAGAACAAACTGTTAAGAAGGTACTTGGCAGCATGTGGATTCAACTTTGGGGTTAAGCGACGTCGCATCGTGTTTTGCTTTTGTCTGCCTCTTCGTAGGGCTGAGATTTGCCGGGTGGCTATCTCCCAGTCTGACTTGCCGGATGATCTCAGACGCTTCGCCTGCTCGGGCCAGCCGGCAGTGGCAACTCTGAGCTTGACATGTCTACATAACAAAGGAAGTCTAGTGCCAGTTGTTGAGGCACATATTTCTAGTCTTTGTGGATTGCAGTAAAACCTGTGGCTTCAGGGCATTTCGGTGCAAATCTTCAGGGTGCCGGATCACGATTCCAAATCTCTTAATTACCCTATGACGAGTTTCAATGTCGCTGGACGCCTTGTGCACGCACACACACACACATGCACACACGCACACACACACACACACACACTCTTTTTGTCCGCAGTGCTGATTCTACTGAGCGGGAAATGTCTGTTCACAGCGACTGAGTGCTTCTGATGATGCGCAATGCTCGCATCGTCGTCTTCATGGTCATATCGTCTTCGCCATCCTCATCCTCATAATCATCGTCATCATCATCACCACCAGCAGCAGAAGCAGCAGCAGCAGCAGCAGCAGCAGCTGCATCAATACGATCAAGACCATCCTCAGCATCATCCTGCAATGTCAGGACCATCTTCACCAAAATCGGCACCACCTCCATCGACATCACATAAACATAATCATCGGCCCCATCATCTGTATCCATAGCAGTAGCGTCACCACCCTCGACATCATCTTCTTCTCCTCCATCAACAAGCTCACCATCATCACCAGCGGCAGCAACAGCAGCAGCAGCGGCACAATCCTCCTCCTCCACACCCCGCCACCCTCAGAATCATCATCTTAAACAGCGACAGTATCTGCGGCATCGTCATCACCACCACCACCAGCTGACTAACCCCCACACCAACCCCCAGCCCACCCCTCACCCACCACCCCCCCTCCAGCCCCCCCCATCACCACCACCGCCGCCGTTGGCATCATTACCACCGCCACAAAAATCATCATCATCATCAGCAGCAGCATCATCATCATCATCGTCAACATCATCCTCGCCGTCACCATCACCATCACCCTCACCATCACCGTCATCGTCATCGTCATCATCGGCATGATCATCGTTATTCTTCATCGTCACCGCTACCAGCTGCTTTCTCAGCATCACTTGCCAGCATTATCTACGTCATCGTCATCAGCGACTTCTTCGCAGTGAAGTCATGGTGAGTCATTCCTGTCAACTTGCCGCCCTTCTTTTAAAAACTGCGAGCAAAACTGCCCGGGTCCGGTGATCAAGCCATCACGCCCTGCGAGGCCAAACGTTGGATACACCCGGGCCTGTTTCAGCACCTCCAGATGCCTGAAGTGGGTGTTGTCGTCAATCTTCGGCGCACGGGGTGCCAGGAGGACCTTGCTGCAAAAAGCGGTAGCAAATCGGGGTCCGGGAGCTTCCAGGCCTACAGAAATGCTATTGAGCAGACTTAGCAAGACCTGTTCACTCAATGGGTTGAGGCCTGCAGGGCTCCCGCGATGGGGAACGTGAGGTCTCGAGGGTTCAGCGTCTGCCGAGGCTAAATGCTTGTGCGGGGAAGTCTCCCCACGTCGACCTACGATCCCATGCAGTCGAGCCAAGAGGGCGTGTTTCTTGATCAAGTCCCACCATACAAGCAAGGCCCAAGCCTTCTGAAACCTGTCATCACAGAATTGGCTGATCAGAGTCGTACCAAACAAAAGCAGTCAACGGCCCGAACTGGGAAACGGCGGTTGTCATTGTAGTTGCGCGTAAAATACAGGATGACCCCAAACCCAAAAAAATCCAAGCCCTTGAAATACAGCTCGAAGCTACCAACAACCCTGCCCGTGAACGTCCTAACTAAACCGCACAGAGCTCGGTACGACAGCTGGCGCTGGGGGCAGGACGGCCGATTTGTGAAGCAAGAAGTTGTTATCCGAGTTGCCAGGCCTTGTAACGCCGTCTTGGATGAATGCTTAGGGCCTCTTTCGCATTGCTTTTACTACTACTCTGAGTGCTGCCACGCTGTCTAGGGATACCGGCCTTTGCGAGTAAGCTCGCATGGCCTAGTACTCAATGACAAACCCTGAAGGCTACTACTGCTTCAAGTATGGTGCCCACCCACTGAAGAAGCAATCTCTGCCATCCTGCTGTGAGAGCGAGGCCCCTGCGTGCCGTGGATCCAGTGGACCCTGAAGTAGTCGCGGTTCTGGTAGTCGTCATTCCTCCCGTCCCTCGCCTTTCCTTGGCAATACATCTTGTGCTGAAGACCTTTCAATTAACAGCTGCCGGGAGTGTTTAAGGTGTTCATGAGTAGAGCCACACCTAACTCAGCTCTATACAAAGCGGAATCGGCCAATCATGCGACATGGTCTTCCGCCCGCTCGCGCACCCGACAAGGAGTTGTCTTCAAAGCAACTTGCTACAACTAAGCTGCAGCATGCAAGAGACCGTTGCCCTTCATCGCGAATATACTTTACCGTCATCAGTTTCACTATCAATACCTTCACCACAACGATCACCACAACCATTACCACCGTCACCGCCATCATCATCAGCATCATCATCATCACCGGCAAGAACATGCTAAAGGAAATGGTACAAGTTCTAGGGATAACTCGAACAACACTGCCAGTGGAGTCGATCGAAACACCAGCAACCAAAAGCAAAAAGTGCAATGAGGATGAACGCAGTGATTGAATATGATTGAATGAAACCGGCATTATAATTTTATAGCCGCCATAGTAGCACGAGTAGCGGCTGTGACAAACTTAGGGAGAAACTTAAGGATCAACTGGCCGGGAGGCGAATGATGGCTGGACGCCACTCGACTGACTCGCCAGGCTCGGGCCTGTGCACCTTCTCCTTGGTTTGCTTAAACACAATAACAATCTCAATATGTGTTTGCCAGTATGAAAACGTGTCTGTGTCTACGTCTATGTCCACATCCATGTACATGTCGAATATGTCTACGTCTATGCCCGAGCATAGGCCTATGCCGGTGTCTATGCGTATGAGCTGCATATGCTTGCATGTGTGCATGTATGTGGATATCAATGTGTACATAATTGACACACGCAAATATACAGACATACCTGTATGCATGCATGCATGCATGCATGCAGGTGTATGTGCATGTGCATGTGCGTGTGTGCTTGGGTGCTTGGAGGACGGGAGCGAAGGAGTGGTGAATTTCACTTCACAGCCGTGCATTTCATATCCTTTCGGTTTGGAGTACTACTGGCATACGATGCCATGCTTGCATACGTGTAGATTTCAAACGCGGCTGCCTGTGTCCTAGAACTCATTCGGTGTTTTGCTGTGTTCATTTGCATTTCGCTCCACATGCCGAGCTTTAGCGCATGCTGCCTCCTGGGCTGCAATGCCCGCCCTAAGGACAAGGTTCCACCCTGGACTCGGCAGAGGATGATGCGGATGCAGCCGTCTGCTTCCCATCCACCTGACACTGGCGTGGTGGTCCAGGCTTCGAAAATGAGCGGAGGTTTCGAACTTTGGCATCAAGACTCGAATCCGGAAACCTGGGATTGAAGTCTCCAAGTCCGACAGATGCAGCTCTTTTTCACTTTTCAAACTTGTTTATACGATCATAGTCCTCTGCATGATAGCACTGGGGGCAACATGATTGTCGTCGGAAAGACCGGAGTTTTGGAAGTCTCTGCTGATCCTCGAAAGTCCAATCCCTTAGGCCCAAACCTTAGGCCAAAGCAATGGTGCAAGGATCTGTGCCTTGTGGACAAATTTCGCCCAGCCGAAACAGCGATCAACCTCGTTCAAGTCCTGCACGCACCCGGCATCTTTCAAGTTGGGGGGGTGGGGACTTGCAAGGCACAAAGTGGCTGTCAAAGAAAACTAGCGGGAGCCGAGGGACTTGAAGTGAGACTTGGGGCTTTCGGGTTTTGAGGCTTGGCATCGCTGTGCAATCTTACTGTCATGGCAAGCTCTGAATAAATATCAAGAATCAACAACCATTCCGCGACACTTGTAGCATGATCTGACTCAGACGCAGCTGGGAGATGTTGGTCGTGCTTTCTATCTCTGCCAGCCTCTCTTTCTTCCTCTCACTTTGCCTGCCTGGCTCTGAAACTCTTTTGCTCTCGGCCTTCCACCAGCCTACTTACTCCAAATCATCAAGGCCGGAGATGCCAACCGTCTCAATATGCCGATTCGCTCAAGATACCCGCATGTACCTCCAATCCATACTCCGTAGCTGAGAGTATATGGGACCGTCTGAAACTGCGCAGTCATTCCATTAACTTCCATGAAGCCCGCAAAATCGCTTTGGGCCAAGGACACCTTCAGGGTAGTCGTGCGCTTGTCTTCCAGCCAAGCTTGGTAATGAGGGTTCACTGCCTCGCAGGTGTAAACAAAGAGCAGTCAAAGCTGGCACTTTAGGACTAGACGGGTTGCAGGTCTCTTGATGAATGACGCTGAAGATCCGTTCACTTCGGATGAATGTCCTACACAAATTGAGGCTGACCTTTGAGAAGCTTTCAAGTATTTCCTTGAGATTCACTCCTGGTCTTTGATTTTGACAGCACTCTTAAGTTCGCAACGCAGGCTTGAGAGCCCAGGGTTCGGGGCTGCAGCCATATATGCCATATCCTCTGCTCGAGGCGCATCCGACATCCCAGCCGCAAAGCTGCGAACTTTGGACCGGAAGCTCATGTTTTGCCATCTATGCAGTCGGTTCGCAGGCTATGGGGAAAATCGCCGCCCTATCCTGGCATCAATGAGATCTGACTACGGGTGCACAGCCAGACAAACACAGAAACACGCAAGCACGCACCCACGGACGCACGAACGCACGCAGGCCCGCCTGCCTGTCCTCTCGCCCGCCCACCCGCACACGCACACACACACACAAGCACACAGGCACACAGACACACATACACACACACACAGACACACACACACACACACCCACACATGCACGTACCCATGCACGCACGCATGCACAAGATCATTACATCAGCCAAACCCCCTCTGGCTGTTTGCATGTGCAAGTGTTCTTCCGTTCCGGAACTAGCACGTAAACAAAAAAGGCATGCTCGTGCTTGGGGTAAGAGCTGCACTCAAGTGTCCCGCCTTGTAGCCTTCGGTGCCTTCGACCACACGCAGCGACACTTTGCCGTGGCCGAAGCCGAACTGCACCAGCTCTGAGTGCACAGTTTGATGTCAGTTGCATAACTCGGTTAACCGCCATCATAGGTAAAGAGATAGACAGACGGCTAGATGGACAGATAGATAGATTGATAAAGACCGGCAGACAGAAGGACAGACGGACTGGGTGCCAAATCGATATGGTCATATACCTAGCTACAGTAGCTATCGGCGTACCTACCTACCGACGTACCTACCTACTCACCACCCACCTCCCTCCTACCTACATACACAGGTGCATACATAAGTATGTACATACATGTACACATGTGTGTATATACAGATAGAAAGAAAGCAAGCAAGCAAGGAAGGAAAAAGAAAGAGAGAGAGAGAGAGAGAGAGAGAGAGGGAGAGAGAGACAGAGACAGAGACAGAGACAGAGACAGAGACAGAGACAGCAACTCATATTATTCATGCATGGAGACTGCTGTCAACGCTAGCAGCCTTTTCAGTCAGTGGGAATACGCATTGTCACACGATGTCAGGTTCGACACATTAGTGTCCAAGCAGCAGCACGTCACACCATCCCCTAAGCGTCCTTCAATTACACGTGCGATTCCTACCTTCTCCAAGGTTAGGGGTGTTTGAGTCGACCACTCCTCGGAACCTCTCCGATGCATGGTTGGACCCCGAAGGAAGTAATGAGAAGAGGGCTTCGTACTCCGACGTACTTTTAGTCGCTGAGGCTTCTAGATGCAATGAAGCATCAGATCTAAAACAGCCTACCCGAGGTGGACAGACGTTGGGCCGCCCCAGACATCCTCGCTAAATCGAAATCTCAAAACTCTGAAACCGAGATTACTGAACCTTGGGTCCTTCTTGACGTACTGTAATCGTCAAAGAGGGATCCCTGATATGGAGAACCACATGTATCCATTTGGCAGTACACAGACTATCCGACTATCCACTCCCGGTCCACTCCCTGTCGACCTTGCTGACATACTGCGAGAAGGCGTTCCTTGGAGTTTGCAGTCCACAGCATTTGCATCATTGGGAGCCAAAAAGCGCACAACCCCCCCGGCGAACAAATCAGCCTTTCATGTGCTCCAGTGCGCAGGAAAGCTGCTTGATTTAGCATCTCCTAAGCAGCGCAGTGAGCACCCAAGACCGGATCTCTCGCAAATTGAATGTTTCATTGCGATTTGAAGGGCCACAGGCCTTCGGGGGATAGGTTCTCAGAGTGCTTGGCCCGCACCCTTGCGAAAGTCCCTTCAGCGTGAAGTGCCACATTGATGAAAGGATTGGGGCTGAGGGCTTGATGACAGCGAAAGGACGTTTGGGCTTCATGCACAAGGCTTTGACGTTTGCGAGCTGCAATGGCAAGTGTTGAAGCCTTGGCTGAGGCTTTAGCGCGAACGCATCCAAGAGCAGCATGTTGACAAATGCAACCAGAAACAACAATCAACTCGTCTTTTGCTTGCAGCTGGCGTCAGGCATAATTTTTAAGACAGTTGCTGCACAACTGCAGCCACAAAACTTGACAAAGCCACATGATCTAGATGAACCTAGCCTCTACAAGCGTGCTCCTCATTTATAAGGCCTTCCAGTGCTGTTGGCAATCTCCCGAGGGATGCCCTGCACTGTCACGCTTGTTGTGGGGACATCAAGCATTTGCTTGGTTCCAAGGAGAAAGATTGTAGTATGACTCCGGACCACTCCCCACATTCGGGGATGGTAGAAGGAAGGGACTGCACATAGCTTCGAAATAGCCTGCCAACGTGGATGCACTGGGCCGAGTATCGATTGAGGCCTGCTAAAAACCGTGGACTCACTCGTGTAGCCAATATCCAAAACATCTTCATCGACATCGGACTGGGCCTTGGCAGGCTCTACTAACTTGCTGCAACAGACTACGGTCGCTCACATCCCAGCTTTGCATCTCCATTCATCAGGAAATCCAGATGGGCTGGCTCAACGGAACCGGGCACTCCAGTCCGTGATTGGCCGGGCAACCCCTAAAAAGTGGCATTCTTCAAAGCAGGGAAAGGTCAGGTGTCCATCATGCATTTGGCTTGCCGAGCACTGAGGACTTGAGTCTTCAGCCGATGAACCACCAGCTGATGTGAGCCGTGTCTGTCTGCACGAAGCGCAACATCCAACGCCGTCTGTTTTGATGAGTTCTTGCTTTTCAGCTTAGCACCAGCTTTGATGAGAAGGTCCACAATCTCATGATAACCTAGCTCTGCAGCGACGTGAAGAGGGAAGACACGCTGGGCTCCGCAGGGCGTCCAGAAGATTCGTGGGGTGTTGACATCCTCCGAGAAGCCCTGGGACGCAAGAAAGTCTCGCAATCTGCTGTAGCTTCGACCTTCGATCTCACTGCGCTTCCACTTTGCCCGCTCCCTACCAAGCGCAGCATCGGTGCGCTCTGAGGGCTTCAGGACCCCAAGTTTTGGAGCCTCCTCGAAGTAGTCCGCTGCCGCGACCGGTATCTGGGTGGGGGCAATCTGACCCAGCTTGAACATCTTGGCAGCCAACTCTTGAGGTCTGAGCCTGGTAAAAAAAGACTCACGCCTTTGAGAAATGGAAAATGGCTGCAGGCACATGGGGAATGGGGAAGCTGGTTGGCAGAAACGCAGAAACAAGCTCAGCCCTGAAGAAGGAGTATAATATATGATATATAATATATAATATAATATAACACACACATATATATATAATAAAATATATATAATAAAATATATATTATAATGTATATTATTATTATTATCATTAGTATTATTATTATTATATATATATATATACTTTTAGCCCCCAAAAGGGGGCGCCGCTCCTCTCGAGGCGCTTTTTCGAATCTGTCTGCCGAGTGGCTCGAAGTCCAGGGGCACCCAACTCATGGGATCGTTCAGAGAGAGCTGCTGCCTCGGCCAGGGCGCCCACTGTGGGGCTTATGGAGCTGGGGTCTCGGGTTCAGGACTGTTGGCGGGCCTTTGTCACTTCAGGGTTGCAAGTTTCTGCAAATTCGGTGTATCGTCCGGGAGCAGAACTCCAGGACTTGAGGGATGAGGCATTCCAAGGACTCTCGGATTCAGCACTTCCTAAACTTGCGGACCACAGGTTCAGGACGGACTCTCGAGGCCATGACGACCAGGCTTAAACTTTAGGGCGGGCAGGTTGCAATGCCTTAGAACAGCAAAGCCGTGGAAGCAGAACACAAAAACTAACAGTGCGCTTGCTACCACTGTGTCTGTGTACTTGTTGTTCAATGCTTGGCCGGTGGTGGACCGAAGTCTGCAGGATCACCCACCCAGTGAGGCATATTGAGGCTCGCAGCTGAGAACTGGCTATCCAGGCAGAATTACTCAATGAGGGCAATCTGCAACATTGATGATAGAACATCAGCCTCCTAACCAAGAAGTCACGGCTTACACGATCCTCGGGTTTGTAGATTTGTTCTCCGTCCTACAGCACTGCTTCGCGCAACACTCGGGCTGTTCACTATACGTCTAGGAATGAGGCATGCAGGAAGCAGGGCTCCCGGCGCATGTGCATATTCCTTAGTCGACTGAAGGTTCTTCTTCTGCATCTGGACCACCTGCATACATCTGCAGCTAGGGCTTGTCTATGGGATGGGGAATATCCTTCTGTGATCTAGGATGTCGAAGATGGACCCGCGTGCCACCAGATTTCATTTTCGGGTTGCAGTTAGCATAGGCAACATCCAAGCTTTCGACATCACCAGTTCCGCTGCGTGCAAAGCCTTGAGAACCAACAAGTTCCCATCATGAGCTGTTTCTCCCAAGTTCCTTCCGGCTTCCGCGGTTCGTATCATGCTCGCTCCAGAGTCTTTTGCCTTTCGAGTCGTCCACGAACAGCATGCAAAGCTGCTGAAGCACGACTGCGTCGATGTCAGTGCTGCAGCCGCTCTCGGAGGCATTCGCTTGCACGCGGTGGGTCTTCCAGGGAGACAAGCTAAGCTAATTTTATTGCATCGGTGCATCTTCGCACCCGTTATCTCGCCCAAGTCACGTTTGCATGTTTGGCAGCTTCGAAGAAACGGCGCATGGTTGATGCTCGCGAAGTTCAGAGCTGTCCTCGCCCTACCGTTGCTGTTGGAGGTCAGGGCCCGCTTGCTGATGCTCTTCCATTGCTTGGCGTCTCCTCTCGCAAAAGTAGTTCGCCCTCCCTCCATTCCTTAACTACGCAACTATAGCTTCATCTCCAACTATTGACGGTTTAGACCCCACAGGTAAAATCACAGAGTCACTAGCAGAACCCGAAAGCCGGCAGCCTTGCTCGACGGAACATGAGCCATGACCAAGTAGCGATGGTTCATCTCAATGTCTGAAAACCTGCGACACAAGGTCGGGTTTCCGCGGCATCGTCCAATCATCTTGGCAATCAAAAATTCATGTGCAGTAAGAGGAAAAACATTACAGCATATCATGTCAATCACGAACACAGTAACAGAGGCCATTGCAACGAGGACTACGAACACAACTGCAAAATCGTCAGCCGACAAAATCTCTGGAACCCTGAGTCCTGCTTAAGCCTGAGACCTAAAACGGCAGAAGCTTGAACCGGGCAAGGGCAAGCTGGCGCACTTCGCCGCGACATCCGCATCGCCGCGGTTTCGCCAGAACCTTGTCAAGAGAGGGTGCAAAGGCAAAGGCGGGCCTCCTAGGAGGGTCTAGGCTTTGGCAGTTTCTCAGCCAAAACTCTCCGTTTAGGATTGGGAGCTTGGCAGCCAACATCTCAGAGGCACGCCGTAGACCCTAAACCCAAAACCCTACCAGGGGATGAAAGCTGGCAAACCCTGAACCCTAAAAGAAGGCTTTGGTTGGAAGACCCAAAACCCAAACAGGAGATGGCGGCTGTGAAAGCCAGAAATCTTAAAGGAAAGCGATGTTGCACACTGCTCGTGCTAGTACTAATACAACTGCTTTTTCCTACTAGTACTAGCAGTTGTCGTAGTAGTAGTAACCGCAGCAGCCGCAGCCGTAGTACTAGTTGGTAGTTGGTGTCATCCCCCTCCCCCCTTCCCCCCCCCCGCCTGAAATGGGGCATGGCCGACCCCAACCGGCAGACCCGAACTGGACACTCCCGACCCGAAACGATGACCTGAACTGTGACAGCAGCAGTAGCCAGTAGCAGCAGCCAGCAGCAGCAGCAGCAGCAGCAGCAGTAGCGGGAGGAGGAGCACGGAACGCAGTCGCAATAAGCATGATAGCACAGTAGAGCCCCCAGTAGCATATGTGAGCCACAAGGACAAGTCACGACAGACTTGACTACCAAGGGAAATTTCCGAGGCGAAGGCTCCGACTCCATGCGGCACGCATCTGAGAGCTTCTCCTGCCGTGCAACGACATCTGCAGGATGTGTACGAAAAACTCGAATCTCCAGATCCGAAGTCCTCAATCACCCAACATAGTTAACAATGCATGTTTGCGCTTTTTCTTGCCCGCCGAGCCAAAGGAATCCGAAAAGGCCCTACCAATTGTTGGCTGTCACCTGGGTCTTCATATCCTTGCGTTGGTGAGCCAGAATACTGCGTGAACTTTGAAGCAAGCAGGACCCCAAACCCTTGATAGCTTGAGAATTCGGATGTCACATCCCGTGCAATGGCCCTTCATCACTAAGGCTATGACTTATGATGCCTTGGATTCTTCTAGCAGGATGTGGACCTTGAAGTCCCGGATGGTGTCGGTCAAGAACACTGGCACTGAATGGTTGGCGCCTGCTCGGCGTGCTCAGAGATCTCAACTCTGACCCAGTATGGATGTCAGAAGACAGTCAGAATAAGAGCATGGGACTCTGCGCACGGGAAGCTTCCACAGCTACCACGGCAGGCTGCAGGTTCCACTTCACTGCCACGGTGAGATTTCCGGAGGCTTCAAAGTCTCGGCTCTCGAGATTCCACTGCGAGCAGTGCACCACCTGGGGCCTCCCTGAAGCTCTCGAAGCCCCCAACAGCTAAAGACCCTTTCGAGGTTGGCCTTCCACTGCCTCAGCGGCTGCTGACCTAGCGGGCGCAACAAGACATCATCCTCGGAAATAGGAGTAGTTTCGGGTTTGGTTGCGGAGTGCGACAAGAGTTTGGCACGGCCACTTAAGGCGACGGTTTGGTCTTCGGAAGTACGTGACTTGAGAGGCCCCCATCCGCAAGCGTTGCGCACCACGAGCGACATCATGCAAATGTGTGAGGGGCTTTGTCTCACAAACCTTCAAAGCTTGAGGTATCACAACATTCCCTTGACAACCCCTCAAGTTCTTTCTGATCCTGCCAGGGCACTGAGCCGCAGTCGCGCTGACTCCGAACTCAATCTTGAGGCCTTTTGCCTGAATTCTGCATGTGTATATATGCATGCTTATCTGCACAGCCTGCCTCATTGGGATGCATCAAAGATATTTAGCTTCCGGTTGCTACTGACTACGGTACTCGCGATGAACAGCCCTGCGTTGGCAGTTGCATATGACAGATCACAAATCAATGGCCGATTATTGACAAAAAAGAACGGTGATGGTGATGACAACGATGATGATAAGGGCTCTCAGTCGTAACCTTCCTGTTGTTATGACTGATATTGGTTGGTGTGACCGGCTTGGCATCTTCTCTTCCTCTTCCTTCGGGCGTAACGGGCGGGTCAGGCCCCCTGGCCACCAGCCCCCCCCCCCCCCACTGTTTTGTAGGGCTTTCAGGGGGAAGGCGTGACACTCGACGACCGTACCGACCCGTACCGAACTCGCAGAAAGGCAACCAAAGTAACTAAATCTGAAAAAGTCGAGACGGAGGGACGGTTGCGGTTACATGCAGGGCACCATTAGTTGTGCGTCCCCCAGGCATCTTCTTTCTTTCTTTCTTTCGCCAGGG